ACAAGACAGATTTACTGTTGTACACCATTTGGAACTTGGATGAGAACACTCTGTCAGGGACCGAGTCCTTGCATTTGTGAGGGTCATCAAAACACCTAGAATACCACATTTTTCCCCTTGTGATGATAACACACAAACATTCCTCACGCTGAGTTTATTCATTAATTTCCCTTGTCACCAATCCTAATACCAGAAAACCCTTTTTGGATCTGATCCCTCGTTAAATCCCAAAGTTTCTTAAATCATCAAAACTTAACATCATCCCCATAAAAACACTATTCATTATGAAGCTCAAGTGCTTTTTCTTTATGAAAAGTATGAAGCTCGAGCACTTCTCCAAAACAAAAATTGTACTGACTTTTTCAATAGTAAAATTGTAAGACGTACTACGTTAAAATCCACCTTTGTCAAAAAAATTGCTATTAGGACATCTCCAACCCTACACTTTATTTTACTCTTCAAATATAGAGTTTTCTATTTTTTCAGACAACCAATTTCAATCTAATTCTCCATTTTTCTCTCTAAAAAGGAATCTTCTTCTTTCTCCTTAATATTACATTATTATTTCTATTTTATTTTTTATTTTTTATTTTCTTATTTCATAATATAATTTTTTTTCTTTTTTTCCAAATAATCATCCTATATAATTTTCATGTAATATAAATTTTTATTTTTTTGAAATTCTTTATTTAATATTAAATTATATTTTATTCTAAATTTCTAAAGAACAACTACGAATAATTGAAAAAAGAAATCAACAAGCTCAACCGCAATCACAACCACAACTTCTCTAAATCATACACTATTACCCTTTTTTGAATATTGTTAAAGAAACGACCTACCGGATTACTAAATTATTATTGTGATTTTTAAAATTATTATGTATTGCATTGTATTGTAATCTTGTATTTAAATTATTATGTTATTTATTGTATTTTTAAATTAAATTTCTTATCTTATCATTTATATTTTGTGCATTCTTCATAGTGAAAATTAATAATAGCATCAAATTGTATCACAAAGTGACGAAAATAAAATAAAAATTAAAAATATTATTAATTCAGGATGAAAGTACTATTATTAAATAATATATTTTTTAAAATTTTATATTACATTTGAAAAGAATTACGAATATTGGAGATTTAATTAATAGCCTTATTTGAAAAATAATATGTTAATTACCAACGAAACCAGGATCTCAGAAGACGGACGGTAGTCCGCGCGGTCATCTTCAATCTAGCTTGTTAACATCCGAATTCAAGGAATAAATCCAAATCGAAATATATACAAATTTTTATATAGTTTAATGACTGTATGGAAGGATCTGATCCTTTTACCCAAGCAAAGGGTCTGTCGAGATTCAAATACTTATTGTTAGTGAGCCCATGTGTCTAGTAGTTCTAACCGGGTATAAGGCGCCCTTTTACTCCTTATCGGGCTGAGACCACGGCTGGCTAAACGGAGTCACTAAGACAAAGGCACTAACTTGTTGTATTGAATCTGACTATACCACCATCTCGGAACCAAGTCAAGAAACCATATATAAATTTATTCATATTTAGATAAAGTCTAGATCTTTCACGGTAGATATAAAAGTGAAGTTAATTATCCGATATAGATATAATTCTTTAGCCGGACATAGTCTCGGCTTAGATCGGAGAAAGTAATAAAGTAAATGAAAGACAAGGAAGGAAGAACCATGGAAGATTATAAAAAGTGAAATAGAGTATGACTATAATATTTTAATTACAAAATAATATAAATAATAATATAATATTCAAAAAGTGAAATAGAGAGTATGAATAATAGTTTTGAGAATTGGAAAATAGAGGATAAAATAGAGAGTGTTTAGAGAGGGTATTCTCTATTTTACTTTTCAAATATAGAGAATGGAGAGTAAAATAAAGTAGGATTAGATATAGTCTTACTACAAACAATTTCTCGTAGATACCGAACATTGGGAAGAAAAATAAACCCAAAGAAATCTTCTTAGTTGGGTCTGCCTTTGCATTCTTTACACTTTTTCCTTTCCCAATTCCAAAAGATTAAACAGTCAAAGAAGTTGAAGCTAAACAAAATTAAATAATATTTGAAAAATTAATCTGAAGATCTTTAGCTTCTCTTGAGAAGACAAATAGTAAATATCCGTGTCATCATCTAAATTATTACTACTTCCGTTTTTCTCCACATCTAAAATATTAGTAATAAAATAGAATTAAAAAATTCTTTTTTATCTTAGATAAAATTCTAATTGATCTAGATGTGTTATATATTATGATTTCTCATCTAGATTACATAAGGATATTAATGAATTTCAAACCCCTAAATATTTGATTTAGTGCTCCAGCAAAATTTATAGAAAATAGAAACAAGATAATCAAAATTTCATAATTTACATTTAGAAGATGTGAAAAAGCTGGAGATTGAGATGAAGCCAAACAAAGTTGGAGAAGAAGAGCTTGAAATTGAAACTTTTTATTTTATAAAACCATAGAATTAATTCATAGAGCAAAAAGGATTGAAAAATTTCCCATAAAAAAAAGTTAACTTCTCTCCGTCACCACCAATTTATTTTTAGAAGCACTAATATACTCACATATTAGTAATAATTAAATAAAAAAATAGTATTATATGGTAACTTGGATTCTAAAATAATTATAGTAGTTTGTTAAGAATTTTTATTTGGTTGCCAAAAAAAAGGATTTTTCACGGCTTTCTCTTGTCCTCTTTATTTTCGCCTCGTTCTCCATCAACACCATTGAAACAATTTGGTGCTTTCATTGCTTTAGACTATGTTTTCTCTTCTTAGTTCATTCAATCAACAATACAGAAATTAATTGCAAAACAAACTTTGATCCATTTACCATCATATGAACTCCAATTTATTTAGATAATATTCAAAGTCGATAGTATAAAAAAAACGTGTTTTAAAACATAAAAATAAAAAGAGAAGCTGGAAAATAATTAATCTTTAAATGTGAAATATAATAATTAAATTAAGAGAAATAAATATTTCTAAAAATGAACGGATGATGTAATTTTTTCTTGTCCATTGTCACTGAGCAAGAGTTGTGCTCACCGAGTAAATCCGGAGATGGGAATTTAATCTCCAAGTTTTATAACCAAAAAAGGAATTGAAAATTTTCAAAAAAGAAAGAAAGAAGAAAGCTACGATAATTGGTAAAAGAAACACACTTTTTTTATACTCATAAAGATAAATATCAAAAATACACCAAAATTCTTTTTGTTTTTTTGAGTTTCATACATAAACTATTGGATGTGTGAGTTTCATATCTAAACTATCACCTTTTAGTTGACAAACACACCTCAGTGGTGTATGTAATACACTCTCTCGCTCTATTATTTGAAAAAACCTTGACACATGCCATTTCACATAGATAAAATATTCCACCTTAACAAAAATTAAATAATAAACTATTACTATTAATTAAAAATTAAATATTAAAGTATTATTATCCCCAAAAAAAATAATTATTTTCAAAAAAAATTAAATTCTTTTTCGTACCCCACTCCACCACCTCCCCCCCCCCCCCCGGACAATTCCCCGTCCTTTATTTTTTAAAATTTATTTTATAAAATATTTTAAAATAAATTCATACTTCACCCCCCACCCTATACCACCCACTCATTCCCAGAAAAATAATTCTACCCCACCTTATCTAATCTTCCGCTCCAAAATATTTATTTTGATTTTTTTAAACATTTTTCTCATTTTGTGTTAGATATGTACATATATTTTTAGGAATTTTTTTCTATTTGTGTACCAGATATAACATAACATAAATAAAAAAATTATTTTTAAAAAAAGTCTTTCGGCAAATAAAAAATTACTTTTCTAAAAAGGTATGTATATATTTAACACAAAACGAGAAAAAATTGAAAACGGAGGGATAGGGGAAGTGGGATAAAAAAAAATTTAAAAGAAAATAAAATAATATTTAAATTATTATTTGAGGGGTGAGGGGGATATCAAGTAAAAAAAATTAAATACTTTTATAAAAGAAATTTAAATAATAAAAAAAAAAATGGGGGGTGGAGGGTGGGTGGGTGGAGGGGGGGGGGGGTATAGTGAAGAGGAACTGATGGAGTGAGGTAAGAACAATATTTTACATTTTATTTTTAAAAAAAATATTATTTGTTTGGGATAATAATTTTTTAAACTTTCATTTTAACTATTACTAATAATTTATTTAAAGGTGGAATGTTTTGTCCATATAGAGTGTGATGTAGCAATTTTTTTAAAAAAATAAAAGAGAGAGTGTAGTACGCATACCATAAAGAGAGTGTAATTAAAAAAAGATGTGTGTTTCTCAAACTAATAAGTGATAGTTTAGGTATGAAACTCACACTCTCAATCGATTAGGTATGAAATTAAAAAAAAGGGATAATTTAGGTGCGTTTTTGACACTTATCTCAATATAATATTATTAGGATTTACATATAATTAAAATTTTATTTGTGGAAAATGGTGAAAAGATGATATTGCCTAAAGTGAAGTCTTCTAATGAAAGACAAAAAGTTCAACAACGTATAAGCAACTTCGTATTTATTTTCGATTTTCACCTCATACATAAAGACTTTCCCATGTATTTATTTTACTAGTCATGAGCATGTGCGTTGCACGTGTGAGTCATGCTAAGAGAGACATTTGTAAAACAATATTGTCACGAGTGCGTGCAATATTATTGGTGTATAAATGTAGATTGTGCTAAATAGTCTTCTCATGAGTGAATGAGTTATTATTAATCTCGTAAAGGGATAAAGATTTAAGTGATGCATTTAATAATACGTAGGATATTTATGTGGTAAATAATGAACGACATCATCAACTTAATATGAAGTATCACATATGAAGCTTGAAAGTACTGTAAATTATGAATAATAATAATAATATTAAAATATTAGAATGCAATTCAATATCAACAAACAAGAAACTTAAAGTATTCTTTAGGTCAAACAATAAAGATGCTCAAGAGCTGCCGTGAGCACAGAAAAGCTCTAACAACCCTATTCTCTTCTCACTTTTACAATTTCAAGAGATGGGTGAGGTAGTTAAGGGAGCTGCTCCAGTTCCAGAGTCAGTATTGAAGAAGCAAAAAAGGAGTGAGGAATGGGCCCTTGCAAAGACACAAGAGCTTGTAGCTGCAAAGAAGAAAAGTGCTGAGAACCGGAAATTGATCTACAACAGAGCTAAGCAGTATGCTAAGGAGTACGACCAGCAGGAAAAGGAGTTGATCCGTTTGAAGCGTGAGGCTAGATTGAAGGGTGGTTTCTATGTTGACCCTGAAGCAAAGCTGTTGTTTATCACTAGAATCCGTGGGATCAACGCTATGCCTCCACAGACCAAAAAGATATTGCAGCTTCTACGGTTGAGACAGATCTTTAACGGTGTCTTTTTGAAAGTCAACAAAGCCACTGTCAACATGCTTCACAGGGTTGAACCTTATGTTACCTATGGTTATCCTAACCTAAAAAGTATTAGAGAATTGATCTACAAGAGAGGTTATGGGAAAGTTGACAAGCAGAGAATTGCTTTGACTGACAACTCTGTCATTGAGCAGGTATTGGGCAAGTATGGAATTATCTGCATGGAAGACCTAGTCCATGAGATCATGACCGTTGGACCCCATTTCAAGCAGGCCAACAACTTCCTATGGCCGTTCCAACTTAAGGCACCTTTGGGTGGACTGAAGAAGAAAAGGAATCACTATGTTGAAGGAGGTGATGCTGGTAACCGTGAGAACTTTATCAATGAACTTATTAGGAGGATGAACTAAGAGAATTGGAAATTTTGCTGTGTTAGGAGTGAGTAACTACTTTATCTCATCTTTTAAGACCTTTTTGGGGTATTGAAGTGATAAACAGCTTCAGATTTTCTGCCTTCATTTGAGATTGTTTAGAGTTATGACAGTATACGACAATGATGATGTTTTTTTCCGCAGGGAACATATCTATGTCAAATTATTATCTTTATCTACAAAAAAATAAAAATAAAGATGCTCAAGAATATAATATTCACCAAACATATACTAACTGTTCTTTTATAATTTTAATAGCGAGCAACTTCAACTAACAATAATATAAATATCACGTTAATTGAAGCAAGCAAATACAAGGTGGAGATGTGTTACCAATTTTGGTGGTGCCGAAAGCAAGAAACTTGTTAAAAGTATTACATCATGAAGAGATAGTAAATGTAATTTCAAATTGAACTAAATTAATAAAAAAGAAACAAATTATTGTAATGGAAGTATTACAAACGAAACGACTTCAAAACGGAAAATTCTTTGGTTGACAACCTTTTGACTTGTTAGTTGTTATGGCAATAACTTTATTTTGTTGATCCTTCTAATATTGTGCAACTACTTAGGAATTATGTTTACTTGCCTAATAATTGATGGTCAAATAAATATTCTGCTAAACAATATTTTGAAGGTCAACATATTTGGTTAAACAATCAACAAGGAAACCCATTTAGGCAAGAGTCTTTTTTAACAAACTAGCTACTAAGATAATGAATTGCTATTCTCAATCAATAAGGTTCCTTAACTAACCAAAACTAACAAATAAGAATGATAATTTGTTAAAAGCTTATTAAAAAATATTTATATTTTTAACTCTACAAGATATAAAACAACCAAGTTAAACAAATAATGACCCATTGAAACTGTTGAAATTTGGATCAAAGAACCAGATAGTAACTAAGATATCCTTAATATGAACACTTGTGAATTTTTAAGGCCTTTGAAAAGAAGGTTCTATTATTTATTGCTACCAGCAGTAGAGTTTCCAGGGAATACAGAAACTACTTTATGACCTCTAAAAAGAAGTTAAACAGAATGCCAACTAAAATTATGATTAAGGAGGATAAATAGAAAATGTTGTGACAGACACAGACAAGGAAGCCAAAAAGCTACTTTTAGGAAAAATTTAAAACAAAAGTTAGTTTATCTCTAGGATAGTTCTCAAGACATTCAAGTTAAGACCATCTCTCTTTCTTGTAGCATGCATGTAGGCTCTAAAATTCCAATTAATATGATTGATTCATTATTTAATTGTTTTCAACATAGAATTGAATACAGCCGCTGCACTCAAGTTCCACAGTTACACCACTGCCAATATCTTGACCATTTATATTACTGATTAACACAATACTGATCAAGAATCATGAGAAACAGGGTAAAAAGAACAAACTATAGTGCCAACCACTGTTCTCATTAAATAAACTATGTCGAAGCACTGATACATGAACCAATATCTCTTCTTCCTGGAAGTGCTATAAACTTATCCCTAAATAATAACAGAGGGCATTTACAGATCAAATTAGACCCATCATAAGCCTCTTTAAGTATCACGGTACTCCTGATATCTTTATTAGTGATGTAGAATATATCGTGTTGATTGATTAAGCAAAACAAAAGAAGAAGAAAACAAATTTACGTCACATAACAGAAATAACAATATCAAGAACAGAGCGACTCATGATAAAGAGGATGAAACGAAATAAGCCAGATAAAAACATACACAGTAAACAGGGAAAACAGAGCAAGTCTTGATAAATATAGAGGAGAATTTTTTTTTACCTGACGAATGTATTTGATTGAGCCACATAAAAGAGAAACAAATTAATGGACAATGACATGTTGTTGGAAACATTTATATAGATGAGTGAAGAATCTGAAAATGTTTTATATCAGCTGATAATTAAAGCAATGGAACTTGAGCGTCCCGAAAGGGCTGTTACAGTGATCGAGGAAGGTTGAGCAGCAACTATACGCCTGTTACAGTGATCAAGGAAGGTTGAGCAGCAACTATACATTTCTAGAGAATTAAATTAGGAATGAGATTATCAACAAATTTAATTTTTAATAAATTAATCTTTAAGTAATACTGTAGGATCAAAACGGTAAATCAACTTTGGGGTCAAACTCTTCCCACTTATAGTAATATATGATTATCAGGTTCTTCTCATATATTTTAACTCTTTTTACCTATATTGACATTAGTAATTGTTTAATTATCAATTTTGTTAATATCTCTTACCATATATTTTATTATTATCAAATGTTTTAGGAATTCTTTATTTTTAAAATAATTAAACTCAATTTACAACAAATAAAGTACTTGATCCGCCTTCAAATTTAATTTGTAAAGCCAAATTAAAAGAGATGACTATAACCCAAAATTCTAACAATAAATAAAATTATATTTACAATAATATTAACAATAATAGTATACTATATCTTTTTTAATTAAGTAACTATATTTTTTTAATTAAGTATACTAAAAAAATATACTTAATTAAAAAACTAACAAGTATACTATTATTGTTAATATTATTGTAAATATAGTTTTTTAATTATTATTTTTTACTTGTTAGAATTTATTATTTATTGCTAAATTGAATAAATATTAAGAATAATAGTATACTTTTAAGTTTTAAAAAATAATAATAATAATATATTTAAAATATATCTGTAATTAAAAGGTTTTACAAATATCCTAAAATTAAGCCAAATAGTATACTTTTAAAAAATAATCAATTTTTATCAATTATGAAATAATTTCAAAATTATAAATTAAAAGTTATTAACAATACAAATAAATGGATTGAACAATTTTTTTTAAAAAAATAATCGGATTGTGTTGATTGAGTTTTCCATATTATAAGTTTATGTCGTAGGATTTGCATTAATTTTTATCTGCATTAAATTTCATAAAAAATGAAAACAACCACTAAATTTATAACTACATCTAATTTGATAAAAGAATAAATTTGAATGAAACCAACCATCCCATTAATTGAACATTTGCATTCAAGCATTAACTGCTATAGCTGGTGAACATTTTTTTTTTAAAGAATGCAGCAAGGCGCTGAAACCAATGCGCCTTGTAAGGCGCATGTCAGCCGATCCTTACAAGGCTCAAGGTTGTTGCGCCTTACGCGCATTGGTTTTCATGTTTTGAGGCGGGAAACCTAATTTAAACGGCGTCTAAATTTGTTGCCCCTTTGATTTGATATCTAATTTTGTTGCCCTTTTGACTCTGGACTCCAAATAAATTAATACTATACTTTATATATATATATATATATATATATATATATATATATATATATACTCCTACCTTTCTTATTTATTTATTTTTAACCTTTCTTTAAGATTATTTAAATAAATAAAAATAAATTGTGACTTAACAAATTTCCCCTTCTTTATATTAATTTTTTCATATTAATGCATATTATTAAAATACATGAGTTATTTAACAAATACTTTAGAAATAAATCAGCAAATAAGTTAATACTATATATATATAGCACGACTACACATGTTTTTCTTTTACTAAACAAAGATACACATTTCTTCATATTCATTTATTTTTAAAAAAATTATTGAATAAGTCATTTTAAAAATAATATAGATTAATATGAATAAATTCTCTTATTATATAAGAGGGAGTTTATGATGGGACATTGTGATGTCCAATCATAAATTCCCTATATAATATATAATATATAATATAATAAATCATTCTTTCTACTATATAATATATATTTATTTTTCTACTATAAGGGAGTTTATATAATATATAATAATATAATATAATAAATCATTTACAAATGACTTAAAATATTTCATATTTAAAGGATATATAATAAAATAGGTTCACTCTCAAAATTCTATTCGGGTCACATATATTGGACAGAAAAAATAACATATATCATTTTAAAATTACCAAAAAAGTATTATAAATAATAATAATTAACAAATTAAAATATCTTAAAGACATTTTAAAAGGGTTAATTTTGTAATTGTAATTTCTACTATATAATAAAAGGGAGTTTATATAATATATATTCTACTATTATATAATATCATAATAAAACCCCTTTTATTATATAGTAGAAATAAATATAATATATATATATATATATATATATATATATAAAAATATATATAATATAATATAATATATAATAATATAATATAATAAATCATTTACAAATGACTTAAAATATTTAATATTTAAAAGATTTATAATAAAATAGGTTGACTCTCAAAATTCTATCCGGGTCACATATATTGGGACAGAAAAAATAACATATATCATTTCAAAATTACCAAAAAAGTATTATAAATAATAATAATTAACAACTTAAAATATCTGAAAGACATTTTAAAAGGGTTAATTTTGTAAGTTTATCCATATCACATAAATTAGGACAAAGTGACCAGCAATGTAAGTTATTTGAAAGTTACATAAAAATATTATAAATCACAATAATTAATAACTTAGAACATTTTTAAAAAAAATGCAAATTTGGATGACTCTTCAAATTTCATTTGTGTCACATAAATTGAGACAACAAAAATAACATATATTGCGCCCATTTTAATTTATTTGTCTTAATTTTTTTTTATATTTAAAAATTGCGTAAAAATACTATAAATCATCATAATTGACAACATAAAATATTTCAAAAATAAATACATATAAAAAATTCGATTAATTCTTGAAATTAATCTATCGTTAAAAATTATGTATAAAATACAATAAATCGTGATTTTGACCACTTAAAATATTTATTAAAAAAACAGAAAAAATTAATTGACTGATTCTTAAAATTAATCTATCAATGTCACATAAAATGAGACAAAAATAGTAATATGTATTGTTTAATGTGAAATTATTGAAAACTACGTAAAATGTATTATAAATGTTAACAATTAACAACATTTGATTGAATCTTGAAATTTTATCAATGCTACATACATTGAGACGAGTGGAGTAATATATATTAAGTATTTAAAAATTACGTACAACCATATTGCTTTCTGTAGGCTTCGAATTATCGTGGTCATTTTTTAGGCTGATACAAGTTTTGTACTTTTTTTTTAATATTATAAATCGCAATAATTAATAATTTAAAATATTTTTAAAAATATATTAAAAATTTAGTTGGTTTCGGGAATTTTA